TGGTTTTTCGTTTCCGCCAAACCGATAGTTTATACTTGTCTATGAATAGAAGCTTGAGAACCACTGGTTAAAATATTTGCTAAAATAACCCCATAATAATTATCTAATATTCATTTAATCGAACTTTTTACTATTTTTTTACTTTTATTAGATAACAGTGCATAGATAATTAATTGTGAATCATTTTATTCACATTTTAATGAACAATTTATTAAGGCGAATCCTTCTATTAATATATTTTTAAAAAAATTAATATAAAATATTATTTATATAATTACATTAAAATTAGTTTTGATACAGTCTCAAAAAGCGTACGGAATAAAATACAAATTCGTTCAAAAAAAACAAAAGAGACAATTGATAAATATAATAAAAAATAAGTTGGCCGACTTGAATTTGTGAAATTAGTTTTTAACAACAATCAAAAAATGTATAGTTCATAGATCTATTTTTATTATGATGTGTTTTTTTTTTCTGTCACCACTTTTTCACAGCTCTCACTGAATCGATATCTTTCAACGATACGTCAAAAGATCACAAATCATATGAAGTCGAAGACATTACCCTCAAAAATGGAAAAGATTTTCCTCGTTCCCCGTAAATGGGAGAAACCTCCAAAAAAATTTCAAATTTAAAAATTGTTAATTTTTGAAATTTTTTCAATTTTTTTTTACTTTAAAGTGCCATAACTTTTTTAAAAATCACCAAATCAATATAATTTTTTTTTTATAAATGCTTGATGCCTTTACCTATTATTTGATATATTCTTTTAATAAATTTGACATTTTACCTGCCCACAGGGGGGGATTTAAAATGACAACTTTTTGATATGAAAAAAAAAATTATATTGATTTGTTCATTTTTGAAAGAGTTATGGCAGTTTTAAGAAAAAAAAATGTCAAAAATTAGCGATTTTTAAATTTATTTTTGTTTTTGAAGATTTCCCCCATTTACGGGGAACGAGGAACATTTTTTCCATTTTTAAGGGTAATGTCTTCGACTACATACGTTTTGTGATCTTATAACGTATCGTTGAAAGAAATCGGTCCGGTGAGAGCTGAGAAAAAGTGGTAACAGACAAAAAAACACATCATAGTAAAACTAATACCTTCTCAGCTTTGCATCGAAGCTAAAATACATTATGTTTTATCGAATCCGTACTTATGAAGTTTTATTTAAATCATATAAGCAATGGACTTTTAATAATAACTGGTTTTATCTTAATTTGTGCTGGTGATGTTAGCCGTGCATGGATAATCACGGCTATTACTTGAATATCAAAAAGCTGGACAGTTATTACTAAATATTTAATATTTCTTGAGAGAATGTATAGTGCTATTTCTACAGGTAAAATTAACAAAAGATCGGTTACAAATTGTTTGATTTTCGGGGATTATCTATGTGTCTTTAATCTATGTTATAATATATATTTGAGTGTTAGTACAAATATTCAATTATTTGACATAGCACATCTTAGTTATCTATGATAACAGGTTACTTGTTGAAAGAATTATATATTAGAATTATATGTCCTAATCTTTTATCATCCCCACAAAATGAAGGGCCAAGAATTCAAAAAATTATATAACATTGTTTTATAGCTTTTGTACGTAATTTTACAGTAATTAATAATCTAATAATACTAGTAAAAAAAAAAAAACTGTATTACCTTAAACTGTCCAACTAAATGTGATTTCTTAAAAACTTAAATTAGGTAAATAATCTATTAAATACAAGTTTTGAAATTGTAAATAATTAGTGTGATAACTACATTATGTTATTAATTTATCTTTCAAGGGGATGTCACAGTGATGGGGTCACCGATTTTCATAAAATTTATATAAAGCTAATCTATATTGAATTATATTGAACAAATTTGCTACTCCATGGTAGTTATTTTTATTGTTATTATTATCTTTTAACTTTAATTTTAAATTATATCATAAATAAACATTTGGTCTCCTGTAATATAATAATTTTAATTTTTGCTATAAATAATTGTTTTATCTTTAATCAAATTAATCAATATTAGCTTCGATGCGAAGCTGAGAAAATGGTTGAGTTTTTTTCATTTGTATGAGGATTACCTGAAGTTTTGTCAGTTGTTTATACGATAAATAAAATAAAAAAATAGCGGAGAAGGTATTAATTTTACTATGATGTGTTTTTTTTTTTCAGCTTCGATGCGAAGCGGAGAAGGTATTAATTTTTATGTCTGTTGCCACTTTTTCTCAGCTCTCACTGAACCGATTTCTTTCAAAAATACGTCAAAAGATCACAAATCGTATCTAGTTGAAGACATTACCCTTAAAAATTGAAAAAAATTCCCTCGTTCCCCGCAAATGGGGGAAATATCCAAAAAAATTACAAATTTAAAAATCGCTAATTTTCGAAATTTTTTCACTTTTTTTTCTTAAAACTTCCATAACTTTTTGAAAAATCAACAAATCAACATAATTTTTTTTTATACTAAAACCTTAGATATTTACCTTTCATTTGATATCATTTTTTTGAAAATCTATCACTTAACCTGCTCATTGGGGGGGATTTAAAATGGCAACTTTTTTACAAAAATTAATTTTTTCAACTTAATTTTTGAAAATGTTCCGGAAAGACTGCGTCCTTTAAACATATATCAAATTAAAGCTTATTTTATGTACTACAAAATGAAAAAAAAAAATTTGTCCCGACACTTTTTTTTCTACATTTAAACGGCTGCCGTAGTTAAAAAAACACTATTTTTGTGTTAAAATTTTCGATTTTCGATTTTAAATTTTCAACTTAAAAATGCTATAACTTTTTGAAAAATGTATATATCAGCACAAATTTTTTTTTTCTAAATACATTATAAGTACATCTTTCATTTGACATACTTTTTATTAAAATTGGACAATTTCCCCTTATATAGGGGGCGTTCAAAACTTAAAATATTGTAAAAAACATAGATCTTTTTCAACTGAACTTTTGAAAATGTTCCGGAAATACTGCGTCCTTTAAACATATATCAAATCAAAGGTTATGTTATATACTATCAAATGAAAAAAAAAAATTTGTCCCGACATCTTATCTTCTATGTGCAAATGGCTGTCGAAAATTTAAAAAAAAATGTAATGTTTGCGATAAAAATTACATTTTATCGGGATGTTTTTTGTACTTAAAACTGCCATAACTTTTTCAAAAATGAACAAATAAAAATAATATTTTTTTGTATTGAAACCTTAGATATTTCCCTTTCATTTGATATAATTTTTTTTGAAAATCTAACACTTATTCTGCTCACTGGGAGGATTTAAAATAGTAACTTTTTTACAAAAAATAACTTTTTCAACTTAATTTTTGAAAATGTTCCGGAAATACTGGGTCCTTTAAACATATATCAAATTAAAGCTTATTTTATGTACTATAAAATGAAAAAAAAAAAATTTGTCCCGACATCTTATCTTCTATGTGCAAATGGCTACCATTTTCAAAAATATGCTATTTTAACAAATTTTTTTTTTTTAATTAAACACTATCTACAGATTTGCATCAAAGCGTTTTTTATGATAGTGATTTTAATAACTGTCAAATATCATCTATACTGGACCCAACTATGCCACGACCCCACTGTGCCGCCACCCCTCTGTGCTACCGTTTTTTTTTATATATGACCCTTTACCTGCCTACAGAAGGGGATTCAAAATTACAACTTTTTCACAAAAAATTTACTTTTTCAACTTGACTTTTGAAAATGTTCCTGAAAGTCTGACACTTTTATATATATATTAAATTAAAGCTAATGTAATATACTTTATTATGGAAAAAAAAATTTCGAACGTTATTTTATCTTCACGGTGAAAATGGCTACCGAATGCTATTTTCGTGTGAAAATTCTTGATTTTATTTTTTACATTTCTAACTTAATAATGCTTTAACTTATTGAAAAGTGTATGGATCAACACTATTTTTTATGAGAAATAATATTTTTTAATAATCCCTTTTTTATTCTTGATATTAATAAGAAACTAGCAGATCATGTAGCTTTTGGAATAATCCACTAATTTTTTAAAATTAAACACTATCTAAAGATTTGCATCGAAGCGTTTTTTTTATAGTGATTTTAATCACTGTCAGGTATCATAATACTTGATCCAACTATGCCACGTCACCACTGTGCCGCGACCCCTCTGTGCTGGTTTTTTTTATTATTTGATGAACTATTTTTTTGCTCTGTTATAAATGGATGATAAAAATTTTTATTTGATTTATAATATTTAGTCTACTTTTTATTTTTTAAAGCTAGCCAAGATAATTGTTTTGATCATTTTATTAGCAATTGCAATGTTTAACAAATAAATTTATTAAATAAAATCATCAAAATTTTTATCATTTTAATGCAATAAAAATAAATTTTCTAAAGTATTTTTTGGTTCTCAGAACTTATGATAGTCGAAAACTTCTTTTTCTTCAAAAATCACTTATATAGCAATTTGTATTAATTTACTTATTTTTTGTATAGATCTTACATTTTTATAAAGATCAATGAATCTTGGCGTCAATATTTTATTAATACATCAATAACGGAATTTATTTAAAATTAAAAATAATAATTAATAAACTACATTTTATCTTAAAGTTTTGAAAATAAGTTAAAATTTATAAAATATAAGAATTTAATTCAAAAAAGTTGAATCTTAAATTGCATAACCTTTATTCATTTTTGTTTGCTTAAAATGAACTTTGAATTATTGAAATAGTTCACTGAAAGGTCTGATCTTAAATACAAGGTAAACTTTTTGTTCTAATAATATAGAATAATGGTTGTATAAAAATAAAATACCTAATTCCTTTTTAAAAACTAATTTTATCATAATTTATGTATTTTTGTTGAAATGCTGAGCACTTATAATTAAGTCAATTTTATTCCATTCGTTAATTACTTAAAAAATAACAAAAATGTTTGTTATTATAGAACTATGAAAAATTATTACAAAAAAAGATTTATTAGTAACTAATATTCAACTTTTATTTGTATTTAAATTTTATCACAGCCCAACATTTAACTTATTAAATTGTAAGTATTATAAAATAAATTTCAAAAATCAATATTTTCTCCTCAAAACTGTTATACATAATAAAAATATATATAAAGCAAATTTAATTATTGATCTAGTAACACTATTTTAAATAATAATTAATAAAACATTGATTATTTATTTAAAGGCATTAACATAATACAGATGATCATGAATAGTTCCTATAATTCCTCCAACATGAACAAAATTAGTATACTTATTATATGATATATCTTCATTTTTTAGTGATGTCATTTTACCACCTTGACTCCTTAAAATAGCATCACCAGCACATATATCCCACTTTTTAATATTAGTTGTATGTATATAAGCAGATGAATTTCCAAATAATACTTGCAATGCTTTATAACCTGCCCCTCCAGCTGTTGTTATAGGTATGCTAAATAAGTGAGTTTCTAAATAATCCAAAATATTCCCTTTATGGGATCTTGATACGATTACAGATCTTTTATTAGGAACCTATTAAAAAATATATACATTAATTTCGTTTTTACTTATGTATTAATCAAAATAAAAACTTACTTTTATTAGTTCAAAATTTTGAGACGTTGATTTGGAATCCCATGCCCATGTAGTTTTTGATTTAAAAGGTTCATGAATTACACCCATTATGGGTATACCTTTGTATGCAACACATACCATAGTAGTAACATATTGTGTTAAGTTTTCTAAACAAAATTTAAAAGTAATTACTTTAAAACTTTAATTTGTTATTAAAATAAATGACACATCTATGGCCATAAACAAGCAAATAAGCTAAACATTTTTAGCTTAACGGAGATATTTAGATTTAACAATAACTTAATTTAACATTTGTTCAGTTAACATCTAATTAATATATTTGTTGAGTATTTTTCATTAAATATTTCTTTTTAAAATAAAATTTTTTATATTATAAAAAACAAATTTTATAGAAATTAAATTAAAATACATTTGTCATCAACATTTAATTGTTTAAAAAATAATATTTAATATATTTTATGGTTTCCTGTTGTTTAATCTGAATACTACTGATAAAAAAATTCCCCAAAACTCACTAGTGTTGAACAAATTGCTGTACATTTTTTTCTTATAAAATTACCATATAAACTTATCGTTATTATTAAAATATATTTTTAGAGATGACTGAAAATACATTTAGTAAGTATAACCAGCATCATGCAAAAATTAAAATATTACATTTTTGTAGGGTGGTATATTTTATCAAGGGGAGTGGTGTGGCGTGGTGGTCACACTAGTTGTTGACAATACTCTAGTGTTAAGCCGCGCATACCGCCGTAGGTGAACGGATGGGTGACCATGCGTGCGCTTCTACGATGGCGAAAAAGCACCATGTTCCCAGTGCAGAAGACAATGGGAAACCACTGAACTTAATTTCCCCAGGATATAAAAAACTATGACAAGGCTTAGCCTTTAGAAAAAAGAAGATATTTTATCAATTTCGCAGTCTATTTTTTTATTTAATTGAAGAAAATTCAAATATTTTATTAATAAATAACCTAAGTAAAATTTGTACATTTAATTATATAAGATATAAAATTTGAAGTTTAAAACATCATCTATAAAATATTTAATTTAAAGAAATTTAATGGTAATAGTTTTTAAAATATGTTTATTTTATTAATTTAATAGAGTATTTTTTTTTATATTAAAAAAAAACTTATATGAGGAGAAAAACTCAATTAAATATTCACATGAAAACTTGTTATCTATAATTTTGTTATTTTTATTTAAAAATTATCTTATACTTATTTTTAATTTTTCAATTATTATAAAAAAATATTTTTTTATAGAAAATTCACCTGTAAATTTATTTCCTACAATAATTTTATTACACACCAGTAAACTCCTGTGTAGCATCTAAAGGATCAATCCAAATAGTTATATCTTTTTTTTCTAATTTTTCTTCAACATTGATTATATATTTCTCATCAAATGAATTAATCGGCTGTATATTTAGTTTTTTGCAATCTAACTCTGATAGTTCTTCTTCGGAAATCAACTATTAGAAAATAAAAGTTTAGTTACAAACAATAATATGAGATATATTTTGATTAAAATAAAATACTTTTATGTCAGGAAAAGCATTTTTAATTTGATAATACATAGCACAATGAGAAGTATAATCGGCATTAGTAACTGGATCATTAGCACCTTCTTTTGTTTTACCTTTGGATCTTGTTTTAATTAAATTCTGTTTGTAAATATTTATAACTTGTAATCCTCCCAACTGAGCAGATCGAATAGCTATTTCAAGTAAATCTTTACCTCTCACCAACTCATTATTACTTCTAAATTTCTTTTTCAAAGTTAATAAAAATACTAATACAATAATTGAAACTAGAAATATCTTTAATAAAGCTTTATTTCTAATCATTTTGTGATTTCTTTTAAATAAAAATGCTAAACGTCACGTATAATTAAGGGCTTAAGTGTAATCTTTTTTCTAACTTTAATATTATATAATTCAGAAGTTCTTTGTAATTTATTTAAATTATCATAATAATGAAATTAAATGTTATCATTTAAATGAAAATGAAAATTATAATATTAAATTTTTTTTTAGTACACATGACATATTTTAATAATTAATAATTCATTTAAGTTGTAAATCGTGGTATCATATACATAATCATCAATGTTATAGGATCTCAATAGATAATGTGAAATTAAAGATAAAAACATTTTATCATTATTTATATGGTTAACTAACAGATCGCGCTTTAGAAACATTAAATCATTTAAATACTTGTTCTGCTATCAAGAGTCATTAGTAATGTAAGCTTTCACTATCACGATCTGCACTCGTGTATCGATTTAAAAAAAGGCTATTACTTTCAAATATATCTGCAAATCGGGGAAAGTAGACGATTTTATTGTGGAAATCTTTATCGCTTCTCAAACGCACAAAATAAATTGTCTTTTATTGTGTACATAGGTTTTTTTTAATATGTAAAATAGAAGTGAAAAATTATTCGCATAAGAACAGACAAATAATAATAATGGCAAAATGCACATTATCGTCATGCTATTCGTCTCCACTGTATGTTTTTCTTTGACCCAACAAACATATGCTGAAAAATAATTTATTTTAACTCTCCCTCGATGTATAGTTTTAAAGATTCTCAGTTTCAAAGCAATTTTTTTGGTGCAAAAACAATCTTATTAGTAATTGATTCGTTACACTTTAGCGAACACAGCCGAAAAAATCCTTTTCAAAAAAATTAAAAAATAATCTCAATAACCTTTATTTGTCACTCATCAGTTTTTTGATATTCGCCACAAAATTTTAAGCATGGTGTATAAGTTAGGGAAAACTATTAAAATTATATCACAAAAAAAATTATCTTTATTTTCTTTAAATAAATGATTTTTCTGATTTTTGGGGGGACTCTTATAAAAAATAACTATGCCCGTATACGAGAGTAACAAGGGTGTTCTCAGAATTTTGTCTTTGGAAAATATACATAAAAACACTATTTTTGTATTTAAGAATTGAGAGGCTATAGTTATTGGCTCATATTAATTGACAGGTTTTATATCCATTAGATATCTACAAAATAATTTACAAATCTAGGTATTTATGTATACATAATTTTAAAATTCAAAAAGTTAGAATTTTTGATACTATTTAGTTTGATTTAATGAAGAAATAACTTTTGTTGACTTCATGGTTCGGTCCTAGTAATTCGTAGAGATATTCAGGAAAATGACGTTATTTTTTATGTTTGTATATTTTCTACAATGAATCATGGCATGTTTCGCAATAAGGTCTTCCCTATAGGTGATACATTGTTCAGCCTCATCTTATCGTATGAGATGCCCATGAACGAGCCTAATGTACCCTAGTCTAAATCTATTTATCACTACTTCAAGATGTCTCATTGGGGATCAAGGAATTACATAAATACATTTTTATACCCCCTCCAAAATATAGTATTTAAATATAATTATTTTCGCCGTGAGGGGGTTCTATTACCCATCACCGACAACTGAGAGAACACACTTATTGTCATGGTCAACATTTTTTTTATTTGAGTACTATATATATAGTAAGGTATAATAAGAAAATAGTCAAAAATTTAAAACTTTTTTTTTTTTTACAATGTTTTTGTGTGTTTCTTTTGTTCAAAGATGATCCTCGTTTGAATGACTTTCAGCTTTGGTCAGATCAAATCGATCTTGATTAGGAAATAGTGGCGGTCTGGAACTTTGGACATGATCCCGGAGGCAATTTTCCTTGATGACCTATCAGACAATTTTCTCAGTCGTCCAGCGAGAAAAAAAAATATCAAATTTATTGAAGGCTTCCTGGGCCGACATTGCAAAAAGATGATTATTTTGCCAATATTTTTATCTCGTTATCTTAACGTGTATCCTGCAAATACAAATGTATTGTTCTATTAATACAAAATTATGTTTTTTTAAAAATTTTAATTCGTTTTATATGTACTTTTGAGAATATGTAAACATATTCCTAAAAAATAAAATCACGTTCACTATATTTTTTTATTTTATTTATCGTATAAACAACTGACAAAACTTCAGGTAATCCTCATACAAATGAAAAAAACTCAACCATTTTTTACTGAATCGACTGCATATTTTCAACTCGACTTAGTTAAGTTTAAAACTAATTATCTTAACTGAAGAATTAAGAAAATTTATGATTAATCATAAACTCTTGTCGGCTGTTAACTTATAACTGTCTTGTGTTTACTTAAATTGACTACAGTGTAGGAGTATTGCAACAAATTATTTGAGAACTCTAATTTACATAATTTTTTACCTAATCAGAAAAATATTCCTATACAACAAGAAATACAAATTAATTTAATTTCTCCGTATATTTTAAGGCAGAAATTTAGAAGACTAAGCCCCTCAAATCTCTTCAGATTGCGGCCAATCAAAAGATCGAATCCAAACTGGACTTAATTAGTTTTGTTGTTTACCTTTAAACAATGAAATGATATTAAATCATATTTTTGTTTGATTTTATACAAGACTAATTGGAATGACAGTTTTAGAGAATGGGATACCGAATATTTTTATAAAACATCTGTTTAATGACGAATCTTATCCATCAGTGACATACACCCCTATATTTTTTTTTACCAATTAATAAATTAACAAACTACATCTAATTAAATGTTATAATAATGGGCACTAATAAAGAGAGACAAAAAAGATTTTAAATCTGAAATTTGGAATTGTTCTTCATCTCCTCAAAAAAAAAAAAAACTTTTTAAGAGCTTACACCAGTTATACAACTGGGAAATCATCGTTTCCGCTAAAATTGACCGTATTGTTTCCGCTAAACTAATCTTCTACCTGTCTATCTACTAAAAAATTTGAGAACCATTTAGTTTTATCCATAGGTCACCACGACGATTTAGTATCGGTTTTAGCATACGGGCAGGTTAGGTAGCTACCAGTACCAAATTGTTTGGCTTTTATGGAATGTTACGTTCAGGCCTGTATTTAAGATTTTTGCGTAGGATATTACTATTAATGAGCAAAATTAAGTAATTTTTTGTCCCATCACTATCAAATGAAATTCGCCCCCAAGAATTTTTGCTCCTCTTAATCATCCCTAATTACGGTCACGTCGTTTTGAATAATTACTTATTTTATCACATAGGCATCCTTTATAAAGAAAATATGACGTTTTACTTAAGGTAAATAAATTATAATAGATATTATACTATCTTAAGTATGTATATATAATATATCTACATATATATATATATATTTGTAATAAATAATAAAAATATAAGAAAATAAAAAGTCATCAAAACATTGAAATAAAATTCAAATATTAATAATAAGCTTAAAAAATGTCTAATACGTGTAATAATATAATAAAAAATAGATCTATGATCTATACATTTTTCGATAGTTGTTGAAAACTAATTTCATAAATTCAAATCGACTAATATCATTGTTATTAAATTTATCAATTCTCTCTTTTGTTTTTCTGAAACGGATTTCATTTTTATTCCGTACACTTTTTAAATCTCCATTATTAAAACTATATATTTTAATGTAATTATAGAACTAAATATTTTCTATTAAAATGTTTAAAAATAAATTAATAGAAGGATGTGCCTTAAAAAATTGTTCATTAAAATGTGAATGAAATGATTCACAATTATCTATGCACTGTTATCTAATAAAAGTAAAAAAATAGTAAAAAGTTCGATTAAATGAATATTAGATAATTATTATGGGGTTATTTTGGCAAATATTTTAACCAGTGGTTCTCAAGCTTTTATTTTATTCATAGACAAGTAAAAACTATCGGTTTGGCGGAAACAATGAATGCCCATAAAACTGGAGTTGTTTTAGTTCAAAGCCTCTTTCCTTACCTTAATGTACCTATCGAAAGTGGTATGCAGTTCGAGCGTCTTTATTGTTATAATTATTCATTAATAGACAGTAATCAATTATAACGCTTTTCTTTTATAATAATTAATATGTACTAATTAGCGATAAGGTTTATATTTTTTCATCACATAATATATTACTACGATATTGATCTACTCCGAAATTTCATAATTTTTTAATCGGTTTCGTGAATAATCGATATTCGGAGCAAACAATTGTCCTATTAGGACTAATCATCGTCGTAGTAAAATCCAAATTTTTGTAACCAGGTATTCACAGTAATTGTTGTCGGAGTAATATATTCAGAAATGTTTTTTACAATATCGGAGTATATGAATGCAGTAGCATTATCAGTTCATGGTAGAGATGTGTCGTTCGCGAACGAACGGATCGCATTGAACGGGTCAAAATAGTGAACGAAATGATTCAGATCGCCGAACCGTNATAGTGAACGAAATGATTCAGATCGCCGAACCGTAGTGAAAACCATAGTATAAATTACACTGTACCGATTTGATCGCTTACCAAATATCAATGATAACATGATAACATATTCATATGTCATTTGTTTATACGACACATCCCTAATCCGAATCGCGAATCGAGAACCGCAAAAGAATCAAAACTATACTGAATGTTCCATTCAATTGACTCAAAATATCTTTTAGATCGCGAACGGGTCTTTGAACCGGATCTTCTAGTTGACCTGATTCAAATGAATCGGATCACTTAGGTGAACCATAATTCCCATCTCTAGTTCATGGCAATCTTCGTAACCCACTTTTTTGCAAAAATTTTTTTTTTAGTAATCCATAGACAATGTCATGATATGTTAAAACATGTTGTATGTTAATCCTCAACAGGCTGATCTAGTACGGCGTATGTTCAACGCCCAATGCTTTTTTTGTAGTTTTGTGATATGATCAAAAAATTAAAAAGGCTACATGAAAGTTAATTGAATTTCCTCTCCTTCTTACCACTCAAAATATATATATTTATTGTTGTATAAAATAATTTAAAAAAATGGAAATAAATATACTTCACAAGTCATATCTCAAATTTTAATTTTATTATAATTGTGTCTATATAGTTACACTTCTTTTTCCTCGTCTACTACTTCCCAACTACTTGAATTTGGCCACGTCTATATAGTTACACTAACTACAAGCTATATACTTCAATTTTGCTAATTTCACAGGTAGTGCCCGGGCACTTTAGATACTACCCATAAACACGCCAATACTTCCACTCAGGGTTGTTACAATCTAAATACTGATTTTTAAAACATCAAAAATTTCAAAATTTACATGGGTCTAATGGGAAAATTTAAAATATTACAATGGTTTCTTGGCTAAATATATTTTTTAACAACCCTGTCTTGACTACAAATAATCTAATTTATTGTAAAATTCAGTGACTTATTATTACGTAGAAAATTTTATTTTTACGCACAGAAAAAAACTTTTAGAAAATGTTTAATTATATTAAAAAAAATATATAATTGTAGTTTAAGTTCATTAACAGTATCTAAAAAAAGTTACCTACAAATGAATTATATTTTTATTTAGCTACAAAAATTTACAAAACATAACATATACATTAGTGAGGAATTATTAATATATAGTATTAAATTGATTTGTTTTATAACATTGTAAGCTGCATAAAGGAACACCAGTCTTAGAGCAAGAATATTTTTTAGGTTTCTTACAGCCATCAATTCCACATAATTTTTGACCTGGTGGTGTTCTAAAGAAAAAAAATTGTAAAATTATTCTATAACATAAAACATACTAAAACATAAACACTAAAAATTAAACTATACAATTTAAGCAAAATTTGGCCCTGGACTAGGTTAGAATTTTTTTTTTTAACATTGGGCCAATATTTAGTATTAAAAAATAAAGTAAAAGAAAAATTCAAATTTAAAAATATATTAATTATATTTTAACGAAAAATATGATATAACAATTGTATGATCTAAAATCATAAACTACCTTGAAATTTAAAAAAAATTAGGTTTCAATTGAGTGTAAAGATCTAAAAACTAATTTAAACAAATGTAACTATTGCAATTTGCAAACATAATTTTATTTTGTTTACTACATATGAAATCTCCACATTTAACCATATTTAAAATTTTTAATTAGTTAAAAAATTGTTTTACTGTTTTGAAGTTTAAAACACTATTTTCTTAGCAATCAAGAAAGTGACTGTCATTGTTTTTTTCATGTACCCTTCATAGTGAAATAAAACATACTTTGCTTTTGAATTTTTCAATGGGAAATCCATTCCTTCAGGAAATAAGAGAGCAATTTTGCCATGTCTACTGATATATATAATATTATTTACTGTTTTTCTTGTCATTCGTCCTTTAGCATTACTCTTAGTTTTACTTTCATGTTTTTTTAACAATCTTTCCATTGTTCGCTTTTTGTCATTTTCTCTTTTTTGATCTGCTTGTTGTTTTCTTTTTTGAGATTTAATAGCTTTCTTTTGTAACATTTCAGGAGTAAGAATTTTTTCCCTATAGCCTACAAAAATTATTTAAAAATGTAATAACAATTTGAAACTAAGTTTAGAATATTGTTATATGTTTTAAATGTTGACTTTTGACAATAAAATTTGGAGGATAATATGACAAAGAGGGCAAAGAATTCAATAGGACACTTTATGTGGAAGAAAGAGAATGACGTAAGTAAAGAAGTCATGAAATAGAAACCAATTAGAAAAAGATCTTGAACAACCCAGGAAAAGATGGTTGGAACTTGTGGAAGAAAATCTTGCGAGAAAAAATATAGTGGGGTATTGTGATGGCTGAGAAAACTCTTAGAGAGTATTAAGAGCCAAAAGAAGAATACTATTTATGTAAACTATTACTTGTATTACGCTTATGAAACGAGACACAATAGATTGCAAACAGACAAACAACAAGCATAGAAGCTCATTATGATGTAAGAAAAAGTAAAATATGTTACTTTATTTTATAAAAGTGACAAAAATAGTGAATTATTTTCAATTATAAAAAGTAATTCTTAAATTAGTGTCAAGTTAATTAATTAAAAACAACACACTGCAAAGTATTTTGACAAATCAGATTATTATTGAATTCTATATGGTTTTTTTTTTTGGAATTATAGAAAATTATGAATAATTATAATTTTATGAAACCTTTACTATATCATGTTTTTTAAATATTTAAGAAATTTAGTACCTTTCCTTATGTTAATGCCTCAACTATTTATTGACTAACATAAGTAATTTATTTATTTGGAATAATATATTTATTTAGAAAATACTCACATAAATACATCAATTGTAAAAAATAATTAAAACTTTCAAAACTTTTTAAAATTTTAAAATTAAAACTTTTAGGTTTTATTAAAAAAAAAATTGTTTAAAAAATTTCCAATTATACAACAGATTAATTTTTTTGATGTCAATAATTGACATGAATTATTGTTTAACACGTAGTGATAATAAACATGAAGAATATAATCAAAAAAATTTAAATAATCTTAAATTTTCTATTTCCAATAGATAATAATAACATTACCTGAAGGAAGTGCAACAAGTTCCTCGGTAAATTCTTTGTTTTCAGTTTTTCTATCAAACATTGCTCTTTGTCTAGCAGTCATCATTTTAGGATCTTTTTTGGTAATTTTTTTTAATTCTTCATCTACTTCATCCAGTTTACCAGTTTCAATAGCTTTTAGCCATCGTTCTTCATCACTTGAATCTTCTTTGTTGCTCTTCATTTTTTTTTTTTTTATCCCAGGACTATGGGTTATTGATCGGGAGGAATAAGGCGGGCTTTAATAAAAGATTTTCATTAATTTTTAATTGATTATTCTATAGAATTATTCCTTATAGATAATTATAAATGAAGTATTATACATTAATAAATGATAAATCCATACAAAAAATATTTTGTATGTTTTACTATGTTTTATTAAAATATTAAATAAATTCATAAATAATTTTTAGGAGTTAAAATTTAATAATTATTATATAAATATAAGGGTGTTTTGAATACGCTTGATAAATGTGTTTAGAAAAATTAATTCTGTAAAGTATTTCATTTTAAAATTTAAAAAAAAATGTGTCAGCATTTTTTAAATAGACAAGCCAATGTTCCTTTAAGAAGGTATAATTTTTTTTTTGTTTAACAATTTAAATCAAAATGCATACTTTTGATGTGTGCATTTAGTAATTAACTTTTAATTTTACCATAAATAAAGCAGAAAATATTTTTAGACCCTCTAAGAGTTTCAATTTTTCTTTTTTTTACATAAACCTAAATATATTTTCTTTAATTTTATGTACTAATTATATGCTCTTGAATTATTCATGATTTTTTTCTGGAATCTTAGTTTTATCTGGCTAAAAATAGAAAATTGACTACCATTAAGATTGAATATTAATACAAAAATTTATACACAAGTGCTAGGTGATGATAAAGACAAACTATATAAAAAATGAATTTAAAAATTAATGCCAAATTTGAATTAAATGACAAAAAACATGAATTTCAATATTTTTTACAACTTAATAGTCAATGTTACCACAATCAGTTTTTACATTACACATAATCTTACCTAGAAGTCATAACATCAATATATTCATAATTTCCAGACATTTTCAAGAATAAATAATATGTACATCAATTGACACGGTACCGTGTTTCCCTCAGCCGCACATCACGTTATCAACCTATATGAAAGTGTATCGGGATAAGAATCATAAGTGCACGGTGGCCTTGTGGTAAGGTTTGTCTGTACGACGCATTGGGTCGCGGGTTCTAATCCCGTACCGTGCCTCCTTTTTTCACATGATTTCTGGAACACTTTCTATAATTGGCTGTCAATCCCCGGCGGCCGTGTTATCTGGCGCCCAACGTGGGGCTCGAACCCACGACCCCGAGATTAAGAGTCTCGTGCTCTTANTTGGCTGTCAATCCCCGGCGGCCGTGTTATCTGGCGCCCAACGTGGGGCTCGAACCCACGACCCCCGAGATTAAGAGTCTCGTGCTCTTATTCCGTGTTACAATTCAATGATATAAAAGCGATTTATAGCATGTTATAATGCAAAAGACGAAGACGTAATACCACAAAAACATTTAGGAAGGAGTATAATTTTTTGATTTGGTTTTAGGCATTAGAGGGATCCATTTTGGTCGAAATTGTCTTGAATGGGTTTGGTTATATGTTAAATATAATTACGATTTAATTTAATTTACATTAGCTAAATTTATTGAATTAAAATAAACAAACAAATATATATTCAAGTCTGTGATAACAAATGGTTAAATTTGATAAGACGAGGTAGTATTTTGTGCATGATTATTTTAATTGATGATTTTGTTTGCGATAATCTTAAATGAACAATTACAATTTTCTTGAATGGAATTAAAATTGTAATATAGTTAAATATTAATTTGTTTTTTTAGTTTTCTTTAGAAAAAACAACTTTCTTTATACCCAAATCACGAATTAATTCATTCCTATAATTAATTAAAAAAATATAATTTTGTTCTAACTTCAAATTACTCTAATGTCAATTACTGAAAAGTTTGAATTTATACTAGCATGTGGCAGTGGACACAAATTTATAAGTGATGATTTATTCAAATGTGTTGATAATGTATTAAAAGTTTATCGACGTGAAGGAGTTTTTGAGATAGAGAGTCAAATAAATGAATCAAGGTATGTCATATTAAATACCTCAAAATTTATAGAATTTTCACAGAATTTATCTATTTAATAGGGCAACAGAATTATTTAAATGTAATGTGAATGGATGTGTAGTCAGTTTCACCTCATTAGAATTATATGATAGGCATTATAATTCAAGTCATCGATATACATGTTCTTATTGCCGCAAGATGTTACAATCTTCACATCTTTTAGATTTACATATTTGTGAAACACACGATAATTTTTTCTTTGTGAGCAAAACTAAAAAAGCAATGGTAACTAAGTTATATTTCCTATTGACAGTAGTTAATCTTTGTTTTTTGTATAAAGTATAAGTGTTACAATGAAACATGTTCTGTGCAATTTTGGAACAGTGAAGAACGAGACAAACATTGTAAAGAAATTCACAAATTTTCTCAAACTTTCTTACATCATACGAATAAGTACAACTAATATTTTTCACAAATTATTATATATTTTAAAATAATATATTTATATTTTAGATTAAATAAAAAGAAAGAAAAAAATTGTAAAAAAAAGAAAATGACATCAACTTCAGCTCTTGAAAGTATGGCAGATCTCAAAATGGTTTTAGATTAATTTTTTAATTTTAATTTGTGAAATTATATTACTATAATACAATATTTATATTTATTTAAAATTTTAGAATTTATGATTTTTGTACAAATAATCATCAAAATATAATTGTCTTACTTTAAATAAATGTTAAATTTAAACTAATTGAATTTAATAATTTTTTCTTTCTAAATTTATACTATGAAAAAATTAATTATTAAAATATTCAGTTTTAAAAATTATTATAAGTAACAAATAAAGATTGTAATGCATCACCTTTAATCATTTTTGTATAATACAAAGTTAAAACAAAAAAGCAAATTACAAACATTTATTTGGCAAAATAATAAACTAAGATAATAATGACAGAATATAACATATGTAAGTATTAATTTGGTAATACAGCCATACCACCACCTAAATTACCACTTCCACTGCCAGGTCCCAAAAGTAACTGAAAGATAAATTACAATTAATTAAGTTATAAAGGTTTATAGGTTGGAGATTTTATTTTTTATTCTTAATACTTGTTTAGAATGATTTTTTTGAGCTTCTTCTACTTGCACACGCTCTGTTTCGAAAAGAACTGGCATAAGCAGCAAGGCAGCAGTAGTTGAAATGCACCATGTTGTGGTACAAGACAGAGAGTATGTTTCTAAAATATTAAAACAAATTAGTAACTAATATATATATAATTGATTCTGTATGGTAGAGGTAATGTTTCATAAGTCCATTTAAAAGATGAGGCGGGAACATTTTTAAAAATTGGACTATTGAATGTTTACATAAAAGGTATAGGATAATAAAGAAAACAATGTTATAAAGTGATAAATGTTTCTAAGAACCTTTAATATAATTCTTAAGTGTACAGAAAAACTAAAAAAGATTGACAATAGTTATGAAAAATACTAGTTCAAACATAAAATCATCTAAACTTAACTCTCAATTTTTTTAATGATAAAACTTATCATAAAATTTATTCTTGATTACAATTATAATTAATGAAATGTTTGTCAACAATTTAAAAACTTTGGAAAATGTAGCAATATAGCTATTCAGGTAACTGACAAAATTGTTTTCTGTGGCAGCAAGTGTTGAAGACTAGTAGTTTTAATAAATAAATGTTATTTAAAAATAAATGTAATTAGTTCTAATAATGAAAAATATGCTCTATTCAAATTTAAACTATATATTTTATTTTAAACACATACAAATTGTTTTGTAACAATTCATGTAACAATACAAATCATGTTTTTTCACAGTGAAAAATTAAATGAACAAAGAAGTATTGACAAAAAGAATGTTCAATAGAGAATATTTTTATAAAATTAATAATTAGAATTTGAGCTTATTTCTAACCTAGATTTAGTATTTAGACAACATAAATATCTAGAAGACATTTTTGAAAGGAAACATGATACTATTAGTAAATATCAATTTTTTTCTACCAATCTTCAATCACAGATAACTAACTTTCATATAATAATGAAAAGTTTATTTTGAGGAACTATTAATCCTATGGTTTATCATGGTTTTTTAATCTAATTAATTATCATTAATATTTTGTATCCTAGACTTAATATTTATATAAATATGTATATGTTTGGTGATAACACTTTAACTTATGACTACAATATACTATTGTGAAAGAAAAATAAGTGTGCACTCTTAAACCAGTTTTGTTTAAAATAGTAAATTTCCTATGGAATTTATTGCAGTTTTAATAAGATTATGAGTAATGTTGTGCGGGCCCACATGGTAAAGGAATTAAACTTAATAAAAAAAACCAAAACATTCACTTTTCAAAAAAAATGTAGAATATATAATTTGATTGGACAGTAAATAATACAATACAACGTTAATTATTAATATTAATACAAATGAATAGAATAATGAAATAGAATGACATAGAATGAGTTTAACTAGCGCATGACTGACTGTAGGGTAACTACAGTGGGAGTCCTTTACCCAAGTTACCCTAAATCCTTTGGTCAGCACATTCCTGTGTCCGACCACCATGTATTCTATACTCTACTCAATTATAAAATAATATTCAAGGATTCTTAACAGTAGGGCTCTGTATTTATTTATAACATTTGTTTGGACTACTAATACCAGTAATACCCAACTCCATGAAAATTGATACCCCCACAGATATCAATTAAATCACTAAAATATTATAAAATTGATCTACTCCCTTTCAAATTAAAATCTTAATTCATAAACATTGATTAGAGTAAAACAAAAACAAATATCTATTTATCAATGATGTACTTCGGATGACTAAAATAAATAATATATATGCATGAAGTCTCAAACCCTAATTATAATTATTCATGAATACGAACAAATTATTCAAAAACTTACTTGTGATAAATTGTCTAGTTAAACCAATTACATTACTTGTATGGTTTCTCAAAGTTTGAGGAAACATTTCAGTAAGACCCCAAAGACGTTCAACAAGAGTTTCATCCTTCAAATGAACACAGTATCAACAGTAAGTAAATCAATAATATTAGAAATGTGTTTTAATAATATAGAAACAATATCAAACCTCCTCTTCGTCATCGTATCTTTCAGATACTGGAGTAATATCTTTATTAGAGTCGGACATTGATTCCATTCCACTGTCTGTATTCCATAAATCTACTTTATCTGAGCTCGACATATTACTTGAGTTTAATAGTTAAAAATGTGTTTCTTTACACAGAAGAATTATCACCGGTAGTGATTGGCAAAAATATCGATCTTTACATTTTTGTTATCAATATGTGACATATCAATGTTTGGTCACAACATTTATCAATATTTTAATGCTGCAAAAATAGAGAAGAGTCTCTTATCTATTTTTTTTATAATATATTCCAACTAAATTGTGGAATTTCAAATTTTATTATTTTTTTTTAACTGTTGGGTGGCAAATTTTATTAAAATTACAAGTAATCATTATCTATCACTATCATTACATTTAAATGTTTTTTATATAGATATAAATAAAGTATAATAATATAAAGTTATATACTCAATTTTGGTCCTATTTTCACAATGTTTTTTTTAATAAAAGTATATATTGAGACATAGCGTTGTTCATTAAAACAAAAATTATTTTTTTTAAATATGGATTATTGAGATTTTACTGACTTATTATGTTATGTATCGATATTTTGATAAAATATTATATCGATATTAAAAATAATCCTTAAGATGTAACATGGAAGTTTTATTGAATCATGTTAATTTATGGGCTTGAAGTGAGTAATAAATGATTAGCAATATTTAATAAGAAAAAGTCATGGTGATAGTACTTAACCATAGATATTAAAGAATGGATGGTGCCTTATCAGAAGTTTCCGAAAAAAATACCTAAGGTGTTTCTTTTTTTATTCCATGAATAAATTTAATGAATAAAGATTAACTTCTATGACTTACATTATATAAAACATTACATATTATAATAATATTCCTGTTCTGATTTGTACTGTCCGATAAATATTTTCATTATCAATTTCAATTCTTTAAGATACATTCCTTTTTATTATTTACCCAGTTAATACTATTCCGAGATAAAACAGTACAGCTTATTCTCATTCTCTGGAATACTGTTCCTGATAAATATAATTTTTACTTAATATTGTTCTATAACGTCTTGTTTAGTTTTTTCAGTTTTTTTCAAGTATTTTCTCGATTCGTATAGCTAACCCATAAAGTAAATATTACAAATATTCCACTTCAACTATAAAGTGTTATCTTTACAAAATACGTTGCAGACAACGCTAATAGCATGTATTTCCAACCTAATGTATTAATAGATACAGCAATGTGTTTCATTTGGATGTAATAAGTTTTTAATAAAACCTGCAGTTATTTATTCTGTAGTTTTTGTTATAATCCCAGTTTGTTCCGCTGTCATAAATATTTAAAACTCGTTTCAGGATATTTTCAAGAAATAGACATTTAACTAAATATTTATTATTTGAGTATTTAACTATAGTAAAATCAATATCAAACACTAAACTAGTATTATTTAGACTACTTTATACTCTTCTATTCATATCATTTGCCTCTTTATTTGTGGCCCATAGATGCATAACGCCCGGTTGAAAACTAATATCTAACGGTTTTGTAGGATTCTTAAAAAAATTGATATCTTTTTGAGTTAGTTCTCCTCTTACTAATTTAATTAATACTCCAGAAAATTCTTTATCATCTTTCTGCCTTATAATTTCCGTTAACTCATTAAACTGAAAAGTTATCGCTTTCGTAGCTATTAATTCTATTGAAGTTGAATATTGGACTACTATTTGATCAAAATATTTGTAGAGTGGTGTGGACATAACTTATGGTAATTGGTAAAAGTTACCAAACACGATCACATTTATATCACCAAATGGTTTATCAATACATAAAATATGTCTAGGTCGTCGATCAATGTAACCAAGACTCTTTAAGCCAACCATAGAAATTTTATCAATTATGAGTAGTTTTACATTACTCAGTTGATACCGTAAAGTATTTGATATGTCAGTACTAAGTTTTGGTAGTATCCAGAAAATTGATTAATTGGTAATTTAAATGCATCATGAAGTGTTAAACCTCATATTTCGTATGCTGCTTTACATGTAGGCGTTGTGAGTAACACAGGAGTATGTGACAAATAATCTAAATCTGGTCTGAAATTTGCTATTCTAATTGTTGATTGAGCTTAAGTTCATTATTTTTATCTGAATTTTCAGCATCTCCATTGTTTTTAAAATCCCCTATATCCAACATTATCTCATCATGTGGGACCCAATCATCTGGTAATTCAGTCTCATTCATATCTTGTTGCTTTTCAACGTTATTTATATCTTCATCTTCATATTGAACTGATAATACATTTATTGAATTTGTTCAAAATTATGTAAAATATATGTTTAAAATTTCATTAAACCCAGATAACATACGATGTTCCGTATATCTTTTTAAAAATACCATGGGTCGTTTAATCCCAACCTTAATAATAGATTTATATTAGTTGTAGGATGTTATTTGTAAATTATGCAACATTTCTTCTATAGATTGGTTCTCTGTGGATTTATGATTCCTTAGGGATTAAAACTTTGTATTTATGTAACCGTTCCTTATAGTTTGAACTGGTTCCGTCGTTAGTGGTGTTAATATACAAGTTTATTTTGTTGGAGGATAAGGTATATTAAATTAAAAATTGTTAGTCTCTTTATCTTTTTCACTACGATAAAAAGTATGTGTATAACGGTGAGTTTGTTTTGATCTACTATAATGCATTCGCAGGGCTGTTTTCGGAAACCATGCATTGTATATACTTATTTATAAGGGTCACACAGACATCAAATGTTTCCGGCTTTGCAGGAAAAAATTGAGGTGCGTTCACAAGTCATAAAATCTTGTGAACATGTAGGGTTCCACGATGCTGATATTCAACGTGATAGAAATAATCATAAACTGGGTGTTCTTTATAAATTCCATTTTTATTTTTTATCTATTTAAATAACTCTTTAAACAAAATATGTAGCACAAACAACAGGATCTTCTGTGATTAAATTTGATTTAATATGGTAAATTTAAAGCGTCTTCGTCAGATATTTCAATTTTGTGATGTAATTTATACAATATTTTCAATAAATCACTCCATGATGATTCACTTGGGCTACTTGTTAAAAATATAGTAACCCTAAATACAAAGGCTAAATCTGATAGTGAATTCTGTACATTGTGTAATAAACAATGTCATCATCAATCATTATCGTTAGATTTTCAGAATTTGAAATGTCACTAGCTGTTATATTTCATTTTTTATTTTTTCGCATAATTATTTGTATATTATTAAACATTTATTTGTGTACAAAAACTTTTCATTTGAAAAATAAATTTGATGTATCTGCTGCAAAACGTCTATTTTAATTCAAAAGTTCTGATCAAATTACCTCGGAGTAATTTTTTAATGGATCTGTTTTTTAGGATAACCACCAAACAAATTAGAAAACACTTTTTCTTCAGCATGGTCATCAATTAGGATGGATAAGGGTCTCATACCTTTACCCTGAGTAAAAAACACATAGTCACCATTTTCAACCATAGTATCTATAGTTCCTGGGTTGGCTGGTTCATCATTGTCACTCTTATCGGACTCTTCACTAACTAATAAGTCTCCTTTTTCATTGTTTGAATATAATTTGTTACATGGCTGTACCATTCTTCGTCAATTTCTACACCTTTGTACAATGGTAAGTCTCTAAGATCCATCAAAGCCCTCACAACTAACATAGGGCGAACATTTTGGCACAAATAATGTTGCTTAAAGCAAGATTTTCTTTTTAATTTGACTTTCATAATTTTAATACTAGCCAAATTTTCTGCTCTTCGTGGTGGAATATTGGTTGTTTTTGTCAAGTCAATTAGTACGTTTACTATGCTGCCTTGAGTTTTCAATTGATCTTTTCCTCGAAGATATTTGAATACTTTCATAAACGGTAATCGCAATTATACTATTTTTCTTTCTATTTGGTTAAGCTCTTTAACTGAATGTGGAATATGATTTAATTGAAAACCATTTCCAACATACAATGGCGGAATTTAAAATTTTTTTAAATGACCATAACAACTTGTGCCTACTATAACACATTCGCTATCATTGTGACCAATGTTCATACTAAGTTGCCTCAATAATTTTTTTGGAGTTTTAATTATGCTACTTGGTAATCTTAAACGGCTACAAGAAATACAAGTTTCAGCCAAATTTGCGTTTTCTTTTAATTATGTTCTGGCAGTAATGTTTCCCACTTTTGTCGTTTCGTATTTAATTTTTGTTTTTCACACAACCTAAATGAAGATACATGATAAAAACGTTTTCTACGACTTGACCCTATGCTGCTATTTGAAGAAGCTCTTCTTTAAAGCATTTGAATTTGATTTGCTTTTTGATAGACCCTTTTCATATCAGGATTTTTTAATTTATTTTTCATAATAATTTTAGTAGCTTCTATATTAGCTTTTTTTAATTTTAAATATATGACATAGAGAAATTCGATTTTTCTAGAATTTCCATTATTTTAGAACTGCTACTTCTATTATTTATTGAAAAAGTATTGTTTGTTTCAATCACAGGAACCATGTAATTTTTTAATATTTTCCTTAGATATTAATTTTTATAGTTAATATAATACACAATTATTTTTTTTAATATCAAGTCAATTGGTTTTTATAGATTTGTTCACAAATATTGACTACACAATTATGTTTAATTGTTACTTTTGAATAATTTAATTGGGTATATTTAAAACGAATATACTCAGCAACTTTATTGATTTTTTTATCAAAACTCATTTTTATTTGTAGATGTAAAGATTATTTTAAAAACTTTTAAAAATAACGTAAACAACTAGTCGACAACTTAAATAACAGAACTATACTCTTAAGGGTAGACATAAACTACTTTTGTATAACAGTTCGACAACTTAAATGTCAGAATTGTATTAAATACCGTAAATAACTCAATAACAATGGGTAGAAAAAGAGGAAAATAAAGGATAAAATAGATATTTTATGAGAAAAATTAAATTTCTACTATCATTTCTAAATCATTAAACTATTATTAACTTTTGTTTTTGAAATGTTTGTTGAAAAAAAAAACTAATTGTTGTTATATTTTCAAAAATATTTCATGAGTCGTAGTTATGAAATTGACTGTATATTTGTTTATATATATATATAATACAACGTATAAAGTTATAATATTATA